ACAAAAACACAAAAATGATGATAATGTTCTGTCTAAAGCAGTTTAAAATCTGTAGGCGTAGAGGGGATGTGCATGTCCATTGTCATAGTTGACAAAACGTGAAGAAATGTTTAAAACACCCATATGCATAGTCAGCAGTCTACTGACTCCAGAGACTGGTTAAAACATGCACATGTGTATCTTGCAGCTGCATGTGTAAGTTTTCAAAAGGTAATTTTGTCACATCATGCATGTTAAATGCCCATTATGAAGATCAAAATAAAAAGTTGTCATAGAGATCAATGTAATTAATAGCAATCATAAATTTGATTGACACATTGTGTGTGATGAGCTTACAACTGGCAACCCATCCATACTGTTTTCACGGAGAAATTTGACGTCGAATATCTCATCCCATAGAGTGAATTTCAAAATTCTGACTTCATCATGACATTGACCTTCCAAGTTGTACATAATTGCAAAAAAATCATGTTTAATGGTCATGCAGATGCTTTGAACTTCAATCACAGACAAAACACCTTTCAACTTATGAAAAGCTCCACTCAATAATATAAATCATTATATAAAGTCTGCATTAAGGCTAGAAAAACATCCATCACATCTTGAAGTGTGCCTTGTTCTTCAGACAGTAAATCTCTCTTTAAGTTATTTTCTTAAGACTTTTTTTAATATATAGAACCAGCAGATGAGCCCAGCATTGCCTGGGCAAAAAATAACAACAAAGATTAAGATTATTTTGTACTTCTAATCCTTCTATTTTAGTAGCTTGGGAGACCCCCTAGTGGGCATTCTAGCAGCAGTGGTGTCATTCTGTGGTATAAATAATAAATTCCTATTACAAATAAAAATAATAATATACCGAATTTCTCATGGTGTACCCTACTAAAACACAGCCAAAATGTATAACAACATACTGAATTTATTGTTAATTTAAATAATAGCTAGGGGCATCCTAGTGGCTGTTTTTGGCATATTGTGACAGAATTCAGTTTTTCAGCTTTATTATATAGAATGGTTTGTTTTTATATTTTTAATAACTAAATATTTAATAAAATATTACACTTTTTATGAATTTCAATTTAAAAATATTTAATCACTGTTTTGAGATATTCTGTTTTCCTATTTGTATTTTAACTTCTGAAAGGCAGCTTATGATACATATACAAGGCAATACATATTTAGAAGCAAGCGTATGTCAACAGCTTACATGCAAAGTTAAAATAAGAACATTGTTGAAAACTCAGTGATGTACAGTCTGGGCTATTTACGTGGATCTGAAATTTGTGGGCAATCATCATCATCTAAATTTCAGAATTTATCATTTCTTAAAAGCAATAGCACATAGCAAAACTTTAGAAGTTCTATTTTATATAATAAAAAACATATTTTGGGAGTTCCTGCAATTATTATCAGATTATTCATACATAATTGCTTTCAAATCAAATATTTCAGCATATTATTAAAGAAACAAAGGTTCCCTACACAAAATATAGAACAAAACCATTTCTGATAAAATTAAAACTCTCTTATATTTTCAAACTGCCTTTTATAACTATTATATAATTTTCATTTTTCAAAACACAATAACTATGAACAAATTAAACTATGTTTTTGACAGTGTATTTTGAATTTTAAGTAAATATACTTGTTATTTAAAATAACTTTTACTTCCTACATCATTTCATTTTTAGAATGTTTTTTGATTTTTAGGAAACAAGTGTTTAGCATTAACAAAAACTGATGATGCACTTGTGTGCATACAGTGATTGAGTAAAGATAATGATGCTTTTTAGGACAAATTAAAATTAGAGATGTAACTGAAACTAATATATCAGCATATTGGAATGTCCCTGATATATCATAAAAAAGATTGGATTATTGGTTTGTAAAATGAATTAATTCATTTTTTGATAAGAATCCTTCACATTGTATGCTATGGTAGGCATTCAGACACAGGCTTATGCAAACTAAACAATTACAATTGCCTAGGCCTCAGATCTGACAAGGGGACCTTACAGTCTCGGAAATTCAGTTCAGGATGAGACTTTGCAGGTTAGTAGTATACCTCAAGGGTGTCCACCCAGAAGAATTGTAAAGTGCACTAGCCAAAATATTCTGAGAAAAAGGGCTCTAAAGTTTTAAGTGCAGCTCATATACTGGTTGATTTTACACTATGGCAGCACAGAGAAATTGGCTGAGTCTGTAGCAAACTTGCTTGCCACGTGGGTGATCTAGGTTCGATCCTACTTTTGGCTAACTTTTTTTTTTATAATTGTTTTAAAAATGATAACAACTTTTAAATAAAGTTAATGGCCTAAAAATATTATTATCAATTAAATCATAAATAATTTTATTAACTTTATTTCATTAACTTTAGTTAAATGTTGTTATAATTTTTAAAACAATTAAAAAAAAAGTTAGCCAAAGGTAGGATCAAACCTAGATCACCTGTGTAGCAAGCAAGTTCGCTACAGACTCAGTCATTTTGCTGTGCTGCCATAATGTAAAATCAACCAGTATATGAGTTGTGCTTAAAACTTTAGAGCCCTTTTTCTCGGAATCTTCTGGCTAGTACACTTTACAATTCTTCTGGGTGGACATCCTTGAGGTATACTACTAACATGCAAAGTCTCATCCCGAACTGAATTTCTGAGACCGTAAGGTCCCCTTGTGAAAGGAGGAAATAAATCAATTTGTAAACTTTTATTTCTTTTTATTTGAATTTAAATGATTAGTGAACAAAGTGGATGTTCTTTAAACTAATGAACTTTCAGGCTTTCATTTATTACAAACAATTGTAGTGTGGGACCGAGGGGGGGAGAAATTTAAAAAAAACACGACGAATGATAATATGTGATATATATCGTCACCATCTCCCTTGCCGTTTGGATTGCCGAGCGGTAACAATCAACGACATGTGGAAGCAGTTGAGTCAGAGATAGATGCTTCGTTTACAAACAACACAACCGTTTATTAAACACGAAAGAAGCTTACAAGATTTCTGTGATCTTGGAAGTTCTGCGGCGGCTGCGGCCTCTGGGTCTTCCTGTCCTTTCCAAGATAGTCCCATTCTGAAGGAGTGTCCCTTGTTCGCGAATGAACCATTCAATCACGTCTCAACGGCTCTGGGACGATGCGGTTGACTTCCATTGATGGAAAGATGTCGATCCGAGGTCGGGAGATGGAGACGAAGATGGGTGTGATACATACACACAACAACAGATCTGTCACTTGGAACTTTCGGGAGAAGAAGCCATCGCGTCCTTGAATTTCCAGGGTTTTATCCGTTTTCTCTCAGATTCCCCTTTCCGATTAGTCTCTCCTCGTCACCTGATGACAATTCAAAACCTTTTGGGGGCGCGGGAGAGATCAAAATCGAAGTTTAATTCGATCTCCAACCGGAAATGGTCGATGGACTTACATTCTTCTATTGTTTAAAAGTTAGCATCGCGTTTTCATAAAATAAAAATCTAATTTTAACTACTATATTATTTTCTTTAAAACAATTATTTTAATGCGAATTTTAGTGAGGGTTTGGACCTGTCCAGAGCCTCACAGTAGAGCAGGTATCTATCAGTTTGAGATTGAATTGTAAAAGCAAAACTCAGTATATCATCTCTAATTAAACTATTACAATATAAAATTATGTAGGGCTGTTTATGGTATATGTTAAAACAGTGAAATAAGCATTATATTTTTTCATTTTCTATTGTCAGNGGACTTACATTCTTCTATTGTTTAAAAGTTAGCATCGCGTTTTCATAAAATAAAAATCTAATTTTAACTACTATATTATTTTCTTTAAAACAATTATTTTAATGCGAATTTTAGTGAGGGTTTGGACCTGTCCAGAGCCTCACAGTAGAGCAGGTATCTATCAGTTTGAGATTGAATTGTAAAAGCAAAACTCAGTATATCATCTCTAATTAAACTATTACAATATAAAATTATGTAGGGCTGTTTATGGTATATGTTAAAACAGTGAAATAAGCATTATATTTTTTCATTTTCTATTGTCAGAGCAAACTCTGCATCTCATTCATTTTGTTTATTCTTTTTTTATTCTTTTTAACCACACTAAATTACCAGTACTTCTACAGATATTGCTAGCATCTTCACTACAACCATCTTCCAAAAAAAAGAAAAAATTAATTTTCAACACTTTAATCATCACCATGGTTGAATAAAAAACTAGTCTTTATCACAAAAAAATTCACCTGAATCATCCAGGAATCCACTCATATCTTATCCATCAATTTTCAAGAATGTAAAAAATACTTTTTTAATTATCAATATTAGCCACAATAAGTCATATATACAAAAACTAAAGATTAAAATAATAAAAAATTACAAGGCTGTTCCTAAGTACTACAAAAGTTTTAATGATCACTAATAAATAATAACAAAATAATGAGCATTTGAATTCAAAACAGTAAAAGATGCACTTGTGCAATACACCTATCATCCAATCACTAGGCAGAACATACAATTGCAGTATTAACAGATAACATGTTAATTATACTTCCAACAATCAAATTAATCTATTACAACAACAACAAAAAAAACCAAAACAATAAAAGCTAAGTAAATGTGAAAAAATTGCCAAAATTTATTAGGTAATAACTAGATTAATTAAGTGATTAATGATGAAAAAATTTGAATTTAAAAAAAAAAACACTTGTCCAAAGCATGATTTGAACCTAATCCATATTATGAGAATATAAATTATGTTCAAATTCAATAAATCCTCCATAACAAAGCTAATATCTTATTACAATGTCATCTGTCCAACTAATCTTGACAAAATCAACTGGAAAAAATCTGAAGTTTCTTTGAAATCTATGACTATTTCATTGATTATATGAATAAAGTATTTTATAAGGTATTAAGGTTTACTTTCTGTAGATTTAACAGTGTGTACCTACATATAATTTTGATCAATGTTGTTTGTGTAAAAAATTTTCTTGGAGTATAATCAATATCAATTTATTAAAACTTACCTCTGCTGTTTCTTCTGGTTTAATGCTAAGATTACCCAAAGTATCCAAAATAGTAACATTCAGTTCTCTTGTTTCTGTCAGCAAAGTGC